TAATGGTTGAGCTTTTTAGGCCTGCCTCTTTTTCAACCCTTTTTTTTAAAAATAATCTTTATTGGTTATACATTTTTTTAAGAATAAGACATACAAATACTAATACAACTTTTAAACATACAAACTCCCCCTCCCCACCTGCGGTAACAGTCATTCACAGCCCAACTTTTTTTTTCTTCCTCATTGTTTAGTCTCTCACCAGCATCTTCTTGTTACAAAGTTCAGGGATCAATTACAATACNTAATAACAGTGAAACTACAAAATCTCATTTTAACATATGCTGATTAGTCTACATTTAAGGTGACAATAAAATAATTATTCTATCAGATTATTCAACTAATTTCAAAGGAATCTTAGAATGTTCTGTTACTCATTTGCTCAGTGTCATGGATGCTTTTAGTCAGTGTTTTTAAACGATGATAACTTTAAGATGTCTGAATTTTAACTGCCAGCATGCTGTCTTGGGAATTCTGGGAATTAAAGTCCACAAAAGTTGCCAAGTTTTTTAAAAAATTGCTTTAGATGGACTAATTCCAAACTCAATTTCACTCCCTCTCCAAGACAGCAACAAACAGGGAGCAAAATCAACCCCTCCATCAAACAAAATTGAGAAATATGCCAGAGGTCCTAATAGACAGGTGATACATTTGTATGCTAATTGTCAGCCATAATGAATCTCTAAGCTGCTTAATATCAGCTTTAGAGTAAGTTGATACTTTCCTCCAACGAGTGGACCTGAATACCAGGTGCAGTTAGTGGAATCCAACAATATTCTCATATTCAGAGTCCCTTCTCCAGCCAGGAGTCCTGAAAAATGAAAAGCATTTAAATGAAAGCAATTATAATGATTGCAGCAGAGGCAATTCATTTCAGATCCCATGCAAGAAAAAAATAATCTTGTGTTAAAATATGATAAATGCATACCAAGGCATTTGGCTGTGGTGCCTACATTCATAGATGATGAGAAGATTTATTTCCTGCATCATCTCCAGAGTAGTCAGTTAACCCTTATTGCAACCTGGTTCGAAAGACTTGTGGTCCATAGTTTTAATAGATCTGCAGGAATGAGATTCTTGCAAAGGGCAGTTTCAAGATCCTTAAGGGAGGAAATTAAAACAAATCTTTGTGATTTACCTAGCAAAGCCTATTTTGACTTCTTGCAGATTTTCATGTGGGCTGTTTCCAGTGGGTTTTGTTTGGTTAATGCTAGCAATTTCCTCAGGCTGTTAGGTATGTGGAGCCAATGACTGCCCACTACAGTTTCTCTTTTGTTTTGTCTTGTTTGCATTAATTGACAGATAACATTTTGGCTCAAGAGGAACAAGAACACTTTATTGTGTCACATAAAGTGTGACGATAAGATACATATCTGCGCATCTTGACATTCCATCTACTTGATAGAAGTGCCAATTGAAAAACTAGAATAATAAGCCAAGGATGAAGCTGAGTGGTGAATCAACAGATAAATGAGGCCAGCAGCTTTTCATAGTCTTATGTGCCATACTCTATAGTTACATTTTCTGTGATGTCAAATATAATTTGTATAATATATGTACTCTGTGTATCTGATCTGCCTCTTTTCTATTCTCTCTGTTTGACTGAACCTTTTTTTAAAAAACCTCTGAGCCAAATAAAGTTTGTAAAGTGGGATTTAATCTACTTTTTCAGTTTCTCAGCTAATTGTGACCATTCAACTTTGGCTATGAATGGTAAGGGTGTTATATATGTTAAAACCATAAATTAAGAATTCAGCCTGGATATCTTACATTCTATCNAGCTAGGGTCATATCAGTGGAGGAGAAACAGTAGGAGTTAATGGCTGGGAGTGGCCAAGGGTTCTATGTGAACAGTCCCATTCCATCCCCTCATCACAAAAAACTGGATTCATAAAAAGCACCAAAATTAATTAAAAGTTTCCACTAAATTTACCCTGACAAATTGTTCCTATTATTTTCTCTCCCCTTTGTTATTTTCTTTGTCTCCAGGCAAAGAATTCTCCTTTTCTTAGGGGGATCGCATGTCAAGTCCCGTAGATCTCTATTGGAACGCTGCCATTCTGGTGGGACAGGGGAGGTTTGGAGATCCTTGCACATGGGGGTTCCTTTATTTCTTTTTCCGCGTTGATGTACATTTTGGGGAAATGGGGGGGGGGAGATGTTTCCTGGGGCCATCTGTTTTGTCTGGAGAACCGAGATTGTAATGTTCTGGCATGGGAAATTCAGATTCTGCCTAGACTTTTTTTGCTATTACTATCTTCTAATAAAAGTTATTTTGAAATGACTTTCGTTTCAAGAGTTTTGTTTTCTTGAGCAGACTGGAGAGGCAGGACCTTACACTAGCGTTCAGTAGTGGGGGTGCCAGTTTGCTGATTCTAAGATAATGGTTAGCACTTCTATTCAGGCTTTGGGAAGTTTCAGAAAGGACTGTGGTTATTGTGTAAAAATACATCTCCATTCACTTTTTATACCCTTTTACAACTAGATTTCTGAGTTCAGAAAATATTAACTGCTTTGAAACTAAGAATTTGAAAATAAGAAAATGGAAACAGTGAATGGCTTGTCTCCTGAGGTTGTGGGTGCTCCATCACTGGAGGGTTTCAAGAAGAGACTGGACAACTATTTGTCTGGAATGATAGTAGGTGTCCTTGTGGGTTGGATTAGAAGATCTCCACGGTCCCTTCCAACTCTATTATTCTGTGTTCTGTGTTGTATCTTACTGTCAATTGCTTTTGCACTGGGAAATGGACCAGATGCACATATGCTGTAGGGAAATATTTTCTGTTTCATGGGCTTTGTGGGCTGACTGGATGAATTCTGTTTTAGGATTGCTGCAGAGTTTCTTTATGATCTATTTTATTTATATCCTATTTTTTTTAACAGGATTTCAAGGCATTGTGCATAGCATTCCTTCCTTCTACTTTTCTTACAACCCACATGTGAGTTAGGGTTGGGTAACAAGGAGGAATGACTGGTCTTGCAGTGTCTACCAATAACCTCACATCAGCTCTCCATCTTGCTGTTTTTGTCTTTTGATGCTCCTTGGATCTTTGAATGCTCATCATTATTTTATTTTAGTAGCAAAGTAGTTCTGAACAATGCAAAAAATGTAGATCTATATATGAGACTCTGCATTGTGCTAATTTCCATCGAGCAGAATTTGCAACTTGCAATCACAGTTTCCCCTTTTGTCTTCAGCAAGTGGAGAAAGTTTAACTGAAGTTTTCACTTTAGAGGAAAGGAAGTGAATATTCAGATGCGGCTAAAATGTGGCCAACTGTAACTGAAAGCGGTCAATTCAAAATGTGATTTCTGAGCAAGGTGATGAGTGGAAAACAAACAGCTAATTATATCTTTCAACCAGATTGCACTACTTCCTGTTGATTAAAGGAGTCAATGTGTCCCCCCCACCAGTGTTTGTTTAATTCTATTTGGTGTTGATTTTTCTTAGTTTTTCCTTAATTAATTATAGAGGGAGAAGTCTTAGTTCAAGAAGAATTAAGGAGGTGCCTCAGAAAAGCAAATGCAGTCAACTGGTAGCGGGATGAGAAGTTATGAACTGATTTTCTTTTTTAGTGGCAGACAGTAACTTTCATAGACTTTTTTACCTAACAAGATGCTTGCTTTCCCAAGGTTCTCCTTCAACCTTAGAGCTCAGGGGAGGGATTTACAAATGCTGCCTCAGTACTCAAGAAACGAAAGGGCTTCTCTTAAGAATCAAGCTGACTGTCTTGTAACAAAAGCCTCTTGGAATCATATCCTCCCTTCAGAACATCCTGGTTTGAGTTTAACCTCAACAGATTCATATAAGTGCAGTTTTTCATAAAAATAACTGGAATCCCAGGAATAAGAACTTAGAGAACCAAGTTTTTTCTGCTGATGCAGGAACACATCTTTGGTTTGTTCTAATGTTCCCCAGCAAATGAATCTGAGGATCTGTATTACACGCTGGAGATGGACTAATTCTAGTGCCGGAAGCATTATAAAAGAAACAATTAAATATGAAATATTAAAGTTGTTGCTTAATGTGGTAATTCTAATTATAAGTATCATCTTTATTGTCATTGTTCTTAAATACAATGAAATTGGTTGTGGATTATGTGAAATTATGTGGATGTGTGTCCCCTATCTATGATGATATTTGTTTATATTATGCACTTAGCACTACTGATGATGATAATTGATATTTTTAATTTATAAAAAAATCTACATTTCTCTTCTGCATATCTAAACTTTAATTTGCTAATCGCATAGGAATGTCATTTACAGAAAAATGTAAGACATTGCAGATTGCTTTGGTTTACATGGAAGTACCCAGATCAGTTGTAGCCAGGAAAAAAATAATACTATTGTAAATATTTCTGAGGAACATCATATTCAAAGATTCAATGCCCAATCAAGCAGTTCTGGTGGAAGGAGTAGAAGAATCTGTGTTTTCTTTTCAACAAACACCACATTTCCTCTTTTCTAGTATATGTGCAACTTTGTATTGGCAAAATAAATGTCTTCCTCCAAGGAGATCATATTTTCGTATCAGATTTGCTAGATGTCACCATTTTAACTACCTCTTAATGCAGTTAAGGATAGCACTATATCTTGGAAGCTAAGATCTAAGCAAATTGTGGTATGAAATATCTGGCAATCGGAGAGGGTAAAGTGTCCTTCAACAAGTCTAGTACTTTCCCTCATTTCAAATGTTACATTAAGATAAATTGTAATTACAAATAAATTTAAAAATATCTGCAATGTTTAAAATTATTGTCTATGACTCCTCCCCCCTTTAGACTTTTTAAGAAAGGAAAGCATAGCAATCCTTACCAGTGACATTACAATTTGGATATAGCCAGGCCAGACTAGCAAAATTATACTCCTAGCATAAGGCAAGACCTAGAAAGATTTGTGACCAAATTTAGTGCCTTATTTTAACTCCTCTGATCAATGGATCCAATAAGTTCAATCATTTCAGTAGACACCAAACAGGAATCTGGGAATTGGGAGAGAATGTAGAGAGAATTTTTTTTCTATTCAGAGAGACAATATCATTTGTTAACAATATCAAAAACATCAACTACAATTCATGTTATTCAAAAATTAAATTCTAATTACATGAAGAAAGTGCAGTTATTACTGGCAGCATAGTCAACACAAAGGAAGGAAAGGTTAATTTTTCTCTCCCAGATGCTGTCACATACAAAATGCAGCCCCTGAAACTTCTTCTTTTGTAGTTCCTGTGTCTATATTTGCTGAAGGTGTTGATGTATTATGAGACTGCAAATACTTGAGAAAGGTACTCTATGCCCTAAAAATAAAAGGGAAGAAAACATGTCTTCAAGACTTTAAGAAAAAACTACAAAACAGCTTGGTCTTTCCAAAAGATTCTATTACCCCATACAATAGTGAACAGTGGTATGAAGAAGTTAAATCTCTCTTGGATGAAAGTGCAATCGGTCCATGTCTGGAATTCATTTCTGTATCACCATTATCTCTCCAGGTGTGATTGATTGATTATGTGCCACCCTGAACAGAAAAACAGCATCATAGGAGTCCTTCGGGATTGGGCGGCATATAAATGTGTCTAATAAATAATAAATAAATAATAATTATAAAGTTGTCATCTTAGGTACCAAAGTTTCATTCAAAGACTAGTTTCGGATAGACTAAATGTTACAAGTATTCAATTAATGATAAGTCCCAATAGAATCATAATAGCTATAAACGTAGCTGGTAGGGTAAGTTGGAAATAAAACGTAGGCATTTTAACCTTTTTGCTATAACTATTAGCTATATTTGTTGTTGTCTGGAATTTATATGACTTCATGTATATATATATGGGGATGGGGGGGGATTGATCACATTCAAAGCTAAAGAACCAATCAACATCAAATATCTTTTCAGCATAGGAGCACACAGCTCCAGTGAACTGTGTAACTCCACCTCAGAAAGACTGACTTATAACAGGATTCAGAGCTATGCGAAACACCCACCTCTTGATTCTTCTCGTTTCTAGTCAAAGGGATACTCAGGCAAAGAATTGGTGGTGCTTGGTGACTCAAAGAGATTCCCCACAACAACCCTGTACAATCATGGACAGGTAAACCCACTGCTTCTGCCCCTGGGCAAACTGCTAAAACCATAAATTCACTTGTTATGAATTTACTGTTTCTCCCCTTCTGACTCAGCATTCCAGATGGCTTCTTCCTCTCATTAATCAATTCTCTGAAGCCACCAGCTCTTTTCTTTTTTTTTTTTTTTGGACAATTGTTTTCTCTCGTTATTGTTTTTGTCTTTTCTCTGTTAAGATTTCTCTATCTTTCTTGCACATAGTTGGCTTTATATTTAGTTTTTTTAATGCAATTTGTTCCATAAAGTTATAAAAATAAGGTAGACTGCTAATGAAAGGCACAAGCCATCCTAGGACCTTAGTATCAACAAGGAGGGATTCAAATAGGAAAAGGAGAGAGAGAAAAAGGAGAGAAAAAGGAGAGACACATACTTAAACTTTGGTTCCTTTCCTACTACGATGAATTTAGTTGACAGATGAGTCCTGTGTAATTCAGATCTTCCTAAATCAAGAACAGTTTCTGTAATAAAGATTTATGATTCATCATACATTTCTAAAGATGAGTGAGTTTAAGTTTAAATTTTCTATGCCTGTTCACAGTGACAGACAGAAAACTATTGTTGTGCTGTGTGTATATTTCTTCTGAGTAACTTTATTTAAATGCAACATTTCTGAATCTGAGCTATTCATAAATATTTGTCTACATCCTTTTGTCCCAGTATTTCATGCAAAATGAGACTGCAGCATAGGTTATTTAAATGTTTATAATTTAAACATTTTAGTTAGATAAATAGTTTTTAAACATGAATAATGCTCCTTTGACTGATTTTTCACAATTGGTGTACAGTATTGATTTCTAGACTCTTTTTATGCTATGCTTAGCCTTAGATGTTGGGTCTATAATCAGCAAGTTCAAAAAAAATCATAATAATATGATCAGTGGGTTGCTGCCAGCAATTTTGTGTGCATTTGCCAGTGAAGCACACACACCAGAGGCCTGTACAAAAACATGCGGGCTGCTGCATTTTGCATCAACTGGAGCTTCCAGATGCTCTTCACGGACAGCCCTATGTAGAGCACCATGCAATAATCAAGACCATGTCAGGCTTGGAAGCCATCTTTTGCATTGGGCCTTCCAGCCTGCCATATTTAATGCTGTGGGAAAATGGGAGGGGGATTGTATGGCATATGGGACACACACACACACACACACACACACACACACACACACACACACACACACACAC